TACATCAAAGTAATACAACTTTAGATCATGTTTGAAAAACAATGAGGAATGAAAGGGAGTTTTTCCTCTCCAATGTCTCTACAAGCATGCTTGGTGTGAGGGAGCGCTTTCGAGTCAATGAGTTAATGCAGTCAACTGGTTTTCCTTAAATAGAAAATGTTGAACCAATCTACATGATCTGGTTGAATCGTCTCTGTAAAGTGCCTTGAGAACACATGAAAGGTGAATTGGTGCTATATAAATAAACTGAATTGAATTAAAGGGTTCTGTCCTCACATCAAGTAAAATAACATACAAATGCAGGCAAAGTATTTAAAGACCGTAAACTTTTTTTTCTCTCTTTTTTATTTAAGATTTTTCCACTTGCAACCCCTTTTTTATTTTAATTTTAATTTTAATTTATTCCTGTTCCACCTTAAGACCCTAAAGCAGAGTTTACCTGAAAAAATGACCACTTTCTGTGTATTATCTCTTAAGTTTGTTTTTCATTATTTATTTTAGCTCAATTTGTTAGTGAATTACGCTCTTTGTGTCTTTTTACAAATACAACATTCCATGACCAGACATACAATACTGCACATGTGCTTAGGGGATAAAAAAGGAAGTAATGTCACTTAGCATGGACAAAATAGTGAAAATGAAGAAAAAAAGACCAATATCTATTGATTAATTGATCGTTGTATTGATTGATTGATTGAAATAAACGATGGTGGAGGGGCACAGTTTTCTGTATCACCTTATAAAATCCAGAAGACTTCACAAGATCAGATAATATTGCACTTAGGGCAACATCTTCTTATAACATTTAATTTGCATTCAATCCAAACAAAAGTTTTAGCACAGTTTTTTGAACATGACTGCCCTTATTTGCGAAAAACGCACCAAGGTTCGCCATCATGCTGTGCTCTTTTCCATTTGTGATTCTAAATGTTCAAGGCTGATAGAGAATGGATCAAAGGCTAATATATCTGTGAAAATTTGCGGTCGGAGGGATCACACCCACCTTTTGTCCACCCCTAATTCTTTGTTACATCTTCAGTATATTCATATCAGTAGTGCTCTCCACCATTAGCTAGAACTGAAGAAGCCTCTTGGATGAGAGGCGAAACGTCTTCTAGAGAACTTCATGTCCAGTTGCCTAGACTGAACTTTTTCAAGCTCACATCAAAGGCTAAGCAGGTTAAACTGCAGCAAAAATCGTCATTTTAAATGATCAGCCATTATTAACTAAGCAGGAATGAAAAACAACTGTGCAGCAGACTTCTCAGTCTTTCCTTAGCAGAACATTTTGAGAACAGTATTTTTCTTTTCTCTCCACTTTCTGGTTAAGCCCTACTTTGTATTGGACTGAGACATAAAATCCTCCTAAATAGGTTTAAGTTTGTGGTTGCAGTGAAACATTTAAAAGTAAAGCGGAATGAAAACATGGCGCTCCAAGATATGAGTGTGTGTCTGTTGGTGTGAACAGCAGCGCGAGACAGGGCGGCCACAGGGCTGACAGTTAGCAAACTACACCCAGTGGACAGGGTGACCACTCAGGTGGCAAATCTGGAGCTTGACATGAATTCCCCTGGTTCTGTCTGCATGTGTGTATGTCTACCTACTTTCCTGCAGGCATTGTGTGTCTCTGCACAAGAACTGTACGCTGTGCATAGCAGTAGTTACACGGTGTGTGTTTGTGTGTGTTGGGGTGGAGACAGAGGTCTGTGCATCACATCATCCGTTAGGTTTTATGGCTCACAACCTCCTAAGATAAACCCCCCAGGCTGTGAAATTGCTCCTTCAGGGAAAAATGACATTAATATGCACTTGTCCCTCCCCCCACCGAACCTTGAGCCTTGCTGTTCTTTTTCAGAGAGACAATCACGTGAAAAGCTCCGGCGCAGATGAGATGTTGAAACCATTGACTGAGGCAGAGCCTGCAGAGCAAAGCTTTCAGCCTGTCTAGCCGTTGTATTGGGAAAGCAGACCCCTCCACAGCGTCAGAGCAGCATGGAGTCATTCATCAAAACCGCGGATAGCGGCAGTCTTTTGTGTTATCCTAAATAGCTTTTAACAGCTTGAAGGAAGTAAAGGAGTAATACAGGCAACATCTTTAATTGATTGGTATGTGTGACTCGAAGCACCTCAACAGTTGCCTAAAAAACCTAAAATATTCCTGTGTGTTTGCGGCATTCTTCCAGTTGAGTGCTTGACGTGATGTATGTTCAATTTGCAATTTAAAAGCTGTTTTCGTCCAAAGGAGGGGGAACATTTCCGTGCTCGCTTAAGATGGAGATTTATATGTTTGGTTTTGTGGTATTACAAACACTCACAAAAGCCAGCATTGGCTTCAAATAAGTTTATATTGCTGCAATGTGGATGTTTAGAAACTTTAATTTGAACAGGAAGCTTTTTTAAAGGTACAAAGGAAACATCTTTTGTTGTGTTGTTTCTCTTGCGCTGAAACATATATATTTGTGGTGAGTGGTTGATCTGACTACCCCTTACAGGAACACTAAGAGCTACAGCTTGCAAAGCTTGAATTAAAAAAGGATTTTCATCCTTGGTCATCATTTATAATGAGTTTATCTCTCAGGAGACACATCCGATCTGCCTGACACCAGCTTTAAACAAATTTATGGATGATGGAAGTACATGCAGTACATCATCTTTTTTTTTCTGCCCATTTAAAGCAGCAATAAGAGCTCAAACACAAGGACCCATGAAGGACCCCATCACTCACAATTTGAGGAACTTATGAAAGGGCTTAGCAATACACGGATATTTTAAAAATGTTGAGATTTTTTCAACTGAGATATAACTTAATAGTATATAGTTTATATCACGGTGGTATATGTTGTGCTTAATTGTACTTTTACATATGGGAGAAGGTTGGTTTCAGCCATTTCCCATGTTTAACTATGGCTGTTTGTTAAAAGATAAGATTGTGTAACATTTGCAACAAAGCTTTGATTTACAAGTACCTTTGTATAATCATGTTAATTTTTTTTTTTTTTTTTTACTGGATTGTCAGAAATAAAGTTATTCATCCTTTATACTGCAGCTCTACTCAAAAGTATCTAGATATTATTTTGGTCTATATAGCCCAGCTCTAACAAAAAAAAAAAAAACATCATAAGGATTAAATTCTTCATAAGATTCTTATATTTCAATAGAAGCATGTATTGTATATCTCTGTTTATGCAAAATAGGTGCATTTTTTTCTGATTTGCCTATATTTTTTCATAGCTTTTTTACACATTTTTTAAATATACACACTTATTCAACAAGATTGTTCTATTTTATTTACCGGTAACCTTTTTTTTGTTGAGCATCAGTTAAGCAAAGTATGCTTAAATATAGAGGGGCTTCTATTTGCATCATCCCTACCACCTGCTCTTCAATACACAACTAAAATTCATTCTTTTAGAAAAAAACTAAAAGTAATGCTATAATGTGTATATTTCATATAACTGATATACTGAGTTGGCCATGGGGTCACCTTAATCTATCCTGCAGTTGTTTTTAGAAGTATATTTTTGTTGTTTTGTTTCATGTACAAAAAATTTGAAACAATATCTAAAATGATATCTTATTAAAATTAACTGTATTGTTGCCCCATCTTTTTTCCTCTCAGCTAGAATATTAAATTAATACATATGTTGAAGTTGTTATTTTTATTAGTTTTAATGGCACTAGTGGCTTGTTTTTTTGACATTAGGCTGAGAGGAAAGGGGTTTGAGAGAGTGGGAGAGACAAGCGGCAAAGGACCACAGGTCGGATTCAAACCCGGGTCGCCTGCATGGAGGACTAAGGCCTCCATACATGGGTCGTGCTCAGTAACCACTGCAACACCAAAGCATGCACTTTAATTGGTTTTTGACAATTGACTGACATCAAAAAGAAAAAGATTCAATAGACAGAATGATTTCTTAAGACTGTATAACACGATGTACTGGTTTCTTGTTTTTCCAGGTAAAAATTACAACTATTCCAGAGATGTTGATCCTTTATTTTAATATAAAAATACTAATTACTAATAAAATTGTCTGCATCAAGGACTAAGGCCTCTGTACATCGGTCGTGCGTGGTAACCACTACGCCAACAATTCTTCACTCTAGTTAACAATGCTCCTCAGTATTTAATCCTCCAATTATCAGTCATTATTTGCTGCTGTTCTCCATTCCTGACTTCTACCTATATCTTTTTCCAATACCTTTCATTGTAAGTTACCTCATTGATAAGTTATCATTGATATCAGTGGTTTTAAATCAGGGCTCACAGTCTGGTAATCTCTCATGTTTTAGATCAGTTTTTTAGAAAAGCATATTCAAATAATAGTTATATTTTTTTCCTCAATACTACACACCCGACTGTGAATAAATAGTTTAAGCTAACTGTTTATATAACTACTTGGCCTAACTATAGCCTACTTTTTGCTTGCTCTTGAGTCCTACCAATCTTCAAACCATAACAAATATGGTTAACAAATAATGTTAGAGATTGTATTAACTATATGTATGTGATAAAAAAGCCAAAGAATGAGGGCCTTCATGCCCATATTGGGTGTATGTAAACTTCTAATAGCAGTACATTAGAGGCTTTAACTCAAGGTAGGAACTGGGTAGCTTTACTACCCCTGCAGAGTCAATTTTAAAACTGCGTTTTTTCTTAACCTGGATAAACATGCTATTGCCTAAATCTTTTTTAGAATACTTTAATTAAATCAAAACAGACACATGCAGTGGTTCAAAAAGCTTCTCAGTTTCAAGGTTGAGCTTACACTTAAAAACAGTTTTTTTTTCTAAGTGGTATGGCAGTTATAAACTATAATTTATCTTTTTTAAGGTGTCTTTTACAACTAGGCTGTAACAGATGAACCCATTTGCTTAACTGTTCTCTAAAAAGTCATTAAACCTATAATTTGTGCTGGAGAATCAATTTTCCTACACTTTATCACACTCACCATATGTTCCAAGTCAAGAGTAAGCTAAGTAATTTTCTTTTTTTATTTCAGGAACAATAACCAGCTGGTGGCCTTCCTGTCCAAATACAGAGACCTGAATTTTATTAAATCCCATGGCAGGGACAATGCAAGGTAAAGATGCACATTTTTGCTCGTCTTTCTAGCTCCTCCATAGCAGCTCTGTCCTCCTCACTGTCTTTTTTACCCACTTGTACCCACACTTTCACCACATACAGTTCGGCACTTGTGCCAATACAACATGGACACTGAATCATAATACAATTAGCTCCCATCTGTGGGCTCCATTAATTAACATTCTTGCTGGGCTGAGGTTGTTGCCAGGGCGGTGGTTTATGCTGACACCACCCTGCTTTCTGTCCTGTTGCGCCCTCGTAGTGGACCAGTGATCGTGCATCACAGTGTGTAGAAAGACCTAAAACAGAGGGAACCAATGTCCTGCAAGGAGGTATAAGTCAATGTAACTGAGCAGCACCTTCGTGTGGTTGCAGCCACTGTATTTGATTAACTTAAATATGTCCAAATTTGTATTAATCGCTTTTAGCCCCATTTACTCCATAGATTAATTTATGAGGCAGCAGGACCATTTCAAGACATCAGCAGTGTATATAACCGTTCAGATACTGTGTCAGAGGGAGCAGTCTGACCCGCCTGACCTAAATTTGATTCCCTACATGCAACACTTGATCTGTCCGCAGGAGTAACACCACCTGCTGTGTCTGCAGGCTGTCACTGTACTGCTGTGGTTGTAGTGAAATATTTAGTGAGCAGTTGTAGCTGCTGAGCTCTCTGTCCAACATTTATTTGTGCTTGTTGTGCCTTTCCTTCACATTTTTGTAGTTTCTTTAAAGAGAAGAGTGCATATAAAATAGACAAAGAAAGAGGTTTTGTCTTGACTTTACAAAAAAGGTTTCTTTTGTTAGAAGGCAAAGGCAAACTGTAAGCTTGTTTATACTACAGATAATTAGGGAATAGTTAAATGTGTAGTGCAGGATGTTCTTTTTCCAGATGGATCCTCAAAATAAGTGGTCCTCTAATCGTCAATCATTCTGGTGATATGTTTATGTAATGCCGTCCTATGTGCTCGTCCCCATTTTCACTTACATATAGTGGAAAATTGTAAATCTTCTTTTGGAAAGTAAGCTTGCATGAGCAATGCCAACACCAACTTTTAAACAGTGTGCACAAGGAGAAATGGGCTTGTGCATGCTCTTGCACATGTTTAATAAGCGTTCCATCTTGGGAGCAGGTACATGGTTGTGTATGTTCATTTTGTTTTTTTAAAGTGGAGAGGCAGAGTCTTTTCAAAAATTTGCAAAAATTATCCTCTATACCATTAATAACAGGATTTTAAACTCTTTTGTATGGTGGAGAACTAGTATACTGTACTGTATTTTTCCTACAAATGTGGCATCAATTAAAAATCTACTTTTCCAGGAGACTTGTTCCCAGCATTCAGCTGTGTGACCAGATGGTCTGGTTTGTCTTGGTCAGGTTTATCCGTAAGCAGGGGCTGGATCGACTCTTCTACGAGTGTGACACTCACATGTGGAGGCTGGGTGACCGAAAAATCCCAGATGGCATCTCCGTGGATGGTGGATCTGACTGGTTCCTCCTCAACCGCATGTTTGTAGAATACGTGATTAACTCCAAGGATGATCTGGTCACCAACATGAAGCAATTCTACACCTACACTCTGCTGCCTGCTGAGGTAACAGGCCAGGTCTCAGCCGCAGTCGAGATCACATCTCGTTTTTACTGTGACTAACTAACGAGCCCTGCTCTGAATTGTACTGAATCATTTACCAACAAACAAAACCAACATTGTTTTTCCTTTTTTAATATGAGATGGGAAGGCCTAAGATGTAAAATTTTCAGCCATGTATTCAGGTTGGGTGAAAACACAAACCTCTACAGGGAAATGTAATATTTATCATCAGCTGTTGTGAGCCTAGTTTCCTTTTTTTCCTAATCCCAATGATATTTCCTCTTGTGAATTGGATTGAGTGGGAAAAAAAACAACTGCCAAACAGGTTTCTAATTTTCTGTCCCTTTTATTTTTTCCTACTTATCTCACTGCCTATTTCCGTTGCTTATTTCCTAGTCATTCTTCCACACTGTGCTGGAGAACAGCGGCCACTGTGAGAGTATGGTGGATAACAACCTGCGCATTACAAACTGGAATCGTAAACTCGGCTGCAAGTGTCAGTACAAGCACATTGTGGACTGGTGCGGATGCTCTCCCAATGACTTCAAGCCATCGGATTTTCACCGCTTCCAGGTACAAGCATTTCAAATTAATATTCAATACGTTCTTGGCGACAGATGTACTTTTTCCTTCACCCTAAGAAAACAAGGTTGTAGTTTTAATATTAGTTTTAAAAAATATTTAAAAACACAGTTCGAATAAAAGACATGTTCTAACTCAAAGATTATTCTGTTTTTGGTTACAAAAAAATGTCCACCCCATTTGTTGGGTTTAGTTTTCCCTATTTAGTAGAGAAGACCAGCTAAACCCAGACCAAGTCAAGACCAAGGCCAGAGTGTAACAAGACCAACATAAGACCAAGACTTTCAAGGACTGGGAACCAAGTCAAGACCCTGACAGAGAAACAGGTAGACCAAGACAAGACTAAGACAGAGAGATAGAGAGACCAAGTCAAGACCAAGACAGAGAGAAGGAGAGACAAAGTCAAGACCCTGACAGAGAGTTAGGGAGACCACGTCAAGACCAAGACAGAGAGATAGAGAGCCCAACTCAAGACCAAGACAGAGAGATAGAGAGACCAAGTCAAGACCCTGACAGAGAGATAGGGAGAACGAGTCATGACCCTGACAGAGAGTTAGGGAGACCAAGTCAAGACCAAGACACAGAGACCAAGTGAAGACCAAGGCAGAGAGATAGGGAGAGATAGGGAGACCAAGTCAAGACCAAGACAGAGAGATAGGGGTCTGAATGTGGGATGAAACCAAGACCATCAAAAAGACTGGTCTTAAGTTCCAGACAATTGGTAGTACCTCCATTTACAATCAAGAAGTCACTTAAATCATTTGAGCCCAAGTCCAGGTGTAGAAAATCTTTCAAACAGTCATCAAGTAGATTAGAAAGGAACATGTAACAATATCTACACCACAGATTATTATTTCTATATTCCCTCCCCTCAAAATGACTAAAGAGACAACAATGATTTTAAAGCCCAACTCACAAATTCTAAATAACATCTTTCAAAGCTTTTTAAAAATATTGTCTGGGCTGATGACAAAAAGTAGAATTCTTTGTAAGGCTTGTGTCCAAATACATCTGGTATAAAACTAAAGGCTGATTTATTCTTCGAAACCAGGTCCTCTGCGTAGGTGTCGCAGTGAACAAAAAGCCGTCCCCACCCCCTCCGCAAACACTCCGCTGCACCTCTCCCAAATTGTATCTGACCGCAGACAGTGCCGCAGACAGGAGGTCGACTTGTTTTGTTTTTATGACCGAAATTGCAGAAAACAACTCGCAAAGTTTGACCAGCTAGAAGACCGAGGTGCACGAGAACGCTGGGACCCTTTTTCCACTTGGATCCTCGTTCTTTTTTGTTGTCATGTCCCTCCATTGTCGGACTAAACTTGCCCCCACTTCCTCATCGCCTCGGCCACATCTAGACCCACAGCGTATAGCGCAGACCACGCTTCAATACTGAGCAAATCAAAAATGTCTGAGTCAAGCTCAATGCGACACACTGCTACAGGAGTATAACCAGCCCTGAATGCTGAGTACTAGACCTTGTGAAAGTTTTAGTTGATCTTCTGTTGCAAATCTTAAGGATACCATTCATGCTTGAAAATCCTCTGCGAGGCTAACTTAAAATAATTCTTCTGCGAAGAATGACAACATTCTTTCACAGAGCTGCAAAAACTCTTTATCAGTAATTTAAAGCCTCCTTAACAGTTTCTGGTTATAAAGGGTCAATGTGGATAGCTTTATCTTTTAATCTAAATTATCACTTTTACTAAGGTTATTTTTTACTGATGACAAGTTGTTTGATGATTTTAAGTACTTAAGCACAAGTAATAAGTATGAATCAACACTTTTCCACAGTTCTGTTTTTGAAGAGGCAGACAAGTCTTTTGCAAAACAAGATTGTTCTACAACTTGGTGTAATTAACTTTGAGGTTTGTATATGTGTCTAATTTTAAGATAGTTATAGTTCAATATGAATTTTTTTTTAAAGACTGTTTTGATTATAAACTGTAAAGTGTGCGCAAATACTAACCAACAGATATATTAAACTTGTTTCCTTAACATTTTGAAGCTTTTAAAAACAGAAGTCAACATGAAAACTTGTCTTCTTTTAATGCTCTAGTGAAGCGTTTAGAAAATCAACAGAAGTCAATAATGATTAGAAAAAAGAGCCGTCCTCTCATGCTCAGCGTCCCACGGCTTTCACTCTCAATATGTACAAAATAACATCTCGATTAGCGTGACCCTGGTAGAGGAGAAAAAAGCATTAGCTATAATTATATCCTATTTGCCTTTGGTACTTGGAGAGAATGAGGATTTTGCCGGCTTATCAAAACAAAGTAAGTTTGTTTCACTTCTTTAATTTTACGGGCACTTGAATCAGAAAGAAAATGCAGGAAAAAGTGACCCTAAGTGTTCTGCCTCACCTCAGCTTTGTTTTTAGTCATATCACTCACATGATGAGTCATTTCATCTGACCTCTAATATCCCTTTGCCAAACCCAGTTGTCTCCCCTCTGTCTCTGGCAGACCAGTGCCAAAGAATAAGCCTGAGCTCCTTGGCACTGCTGCTGAGTCTGGTTGGCACTCAGCATGGTGTCGTGAGGTCTGGCCCTGGAAACAAAGCAGCCCTGTGAGAGGGCTAACTGATCCTCACATTAATTATTTCAGTATTGATGTTAATTATTTATAAAGTGCATCCAAAATACTGGAGAAGTCAATAGAAAAAAAAAAAAAAAAACTGAACAAAAACAAACATTTTCACTAAAAGGAATTTAAAATATGAGATTGATCTAGACTGCTAAAAATGTGAAATGATCCAATATTATTAAACACCTTGATAAGTTCCTTTACACAACACCCTTTAATTTTAGCAATGAATGAGACAATACTTTTTAAACTGGGTCCCACATGTTCTGGTTGAATCTAAAGTCCATTCATTGGGGAGAAACCATCAAAATATTCATTTAATCCACTAATTCACTTAAATAATAGCTATTTCTGTTACCTTTTATGCGAATTGCTTCCAGTTAGGGTTTCAAACTAACTGATATTTCAATATAATCCATCCTACAAAAAATATTGTTTCAAGATACTTGTTTATGTGAGTTAAAATCTTTAAAAACAAACAAACCCAGTCACATTTGTAAAAACTGTTGCACATCTTTCCTGCAGCAGTGTAGCAATAACAAAGACTTTATTCACCTCCCAGATAGTAAATGTCTTGAACGACATAAACTATGCTTTAAGACTGGCTTCACAATGGAGCTTTCTTGGAATATTCCTTTTCTACACTTTTTATTTAAAGCATGCTGCTATAACTTTAGAATAAACAGAATATCCTGAAAATTACCAGAAAAAATATAAATTGTACAGTATTGCTCCTGTACATTTGATTGAACCAGATCTTTGTTTTTAGAGAAGGAAAAACCTATGGGAAAATTGCCACTGTGATCATATTGTACTTTTTTTGTTGCACCAGATCCATGTTTGTGTCAGAAACTGTGGGGCTTGGATTGACCCATGTCCAGACCGGCAGATCAAGGCTAAAACAATAAATAAAGGAACTTAATCTTTCCACTTTCATCCAGAATGTGGAAAAACAAAAGTTTACAAAGCAAAAAGTGTTTTTTTTTTTTTTTTTTTGGTTAGGCATGGCTTGGTATAATAGGGTTAGATAGCATGAATGTACTGTAGTTTTCATTGATGAAGGGTGAACCTAAACTGGCCGGTAAGAAAGTGGTTGTAGATATGAGCAAAGCAAAGGCTGGTTACAGGTGAATTGAGTTGTATGATTAGTGGCAATGAAAATAAATAAAAAAGACAGCAGATGAACCTGATCACACTAATTAAAGAAAAGAAAAACAACAAAAACATAGCTGAACTATGTTTTTTATGTCAAAGTACCAGAGAGATATAAAGAAAAAAAAAATCTAACAATCTAACATGAAAGAAACTAAACTAAGATAAATTACAAAAAAGGACTGAGGGGTAAATGGCAAAGGTTAACACTATGCTTAAAAAGAAAAATAACATTAAAGAATAAGAACTCAAAAGGACCCCAATAATAAATAAAACATTTCGACCACATTTATCCTCCAGTCAACCTTCTTAAGCAACGTTATTTTTTAACACTCTTGCTGTGAAGGGTGTCAGTGGTTGTTTCATGACGTGTCAGGCTGGTTTTCCTCTGGATTTTAAATGACATAAAGACATAACAAAAAGTTTTTGCAATATCCCACTGGTACTGCTACATGAAAAAAAAAAGGTTTCGTTTCATTAGGTCTTCTCTTTTATCTCTTCATGTTGTTTTTTTTCCCTAGCAGGTTACATCAAAGTCTTTGGCACTGTTAGATGAATAGTTTGGTGTCTGGGACTCATAGAAGATGCCTTTGTGTGCCAGCCAAGCTTCAGAGATGGCAAAATTCATAAGCCATCATCAACTAAAGACGAAATTACAAAGCACAGAAAAAGATGTGAATGAAATGAGGACAAATAGAGACTGTGACTAATAGATGGAGAAAAATGTTAGAAAATTCAGTGAATGCCAAAAAGTAAAAAAACAATCCACTGGACTTTCTTTTCGACTTTGGAGATGTTTCGCTTGACAACGAAAATGTTGCACAATTCAGCACAAACATAGCGCAAACGTTTGACACCAGTTTTGTCTGATTTCACCTTTGATTAATATCTTCAAAGCCAAAGCAGCACAAACAACAATTTTTGCCGCACAAACAGCCCAAACGGAGTCCAGTTAATTGACACCTATTTCGTCTGATTTGAAGAAGGTGGGGGGGGCTGGTTGACCTTTGATGACCTCTGGAAACTTTTCTTTGTATCTTTGCAATGATACTGGCAGAAACAAAAATTTTGCTGCACAAATCAGCACAAACGTAGCACAAATGTTTGACTCCAATTTTGTCTGATTTGAAGAAGGTGGGGAGGCTGTTTGACCTTTGTTGACCTTTAAAAACATTTCTTTATATCTTTAAAATGAAAGTGGCACAAACGAAAATTTTGATGCACAAATCAGCACAAACGTTTGACTCCCAATTTTGTCTGATTTGAAGAAGGTAGAGGAGCCAACTTCGCTCAGGTGGTTACTCTGCCTGACATAGTTTTGACTCCCACCTCTGTGATGTGACACAAAAGAAGTTTAAAGACCATTTTCCTTAAAATGTTTGAAAATGTGGTGAAACAAGTATGATTATCTTTAAAACTCCAATGATTATCTGCTAAACAATTTTGATGTAAGGTAAGCAGAGGGTGATCAAGAAATGTCTAGTTTATCTTGTTTTAAAACAGAAATGATTTTCCTCTGCTTATATCTTTTGGAGTCAGTTCAAGGGTCATTATGTACTAACAGAGTCCTGTCTGAGGTTTATATACACTCAACAGCTTCAGTGGAATGAGGTTGTAATCCAGGTTAAAATATATTTATAGACCATCCCTAATATTTGTTGAACTTTACTTTTATCAAGTGGAATCACATCCACATGTTTTTGTTAAAATCATAAGGCTTTAGGGATATTTTTGGATAATTATGTTTTTTTTTTGGATAATTATGTTATGGATAATATGTCAGAATCTGCAGCTTTTGTAATGGTTTGATTAATATATTGGTTGATTAATTTGAATCATAATTTAATAGTAATTTACAATTTGTTAACAAAAATAAGCAACTCCAGAAACAAAATATTTGCTTTCTTTATATAAACACTAAATTACTTTTATTGTCATTTTATATACACAGAGTGTATACAAAACGAATGTCTTTTGCAAGCTGTGTGGCCCCTGTCTGGTGATGGTATCACACTGGGTTAGTCTTGATAAAGTCATCAGTGCGTCAGGAAAGTAGACAATGGAGAGAAACATGTAAGGAAGCCAGGGCGTAGTCAGTGTTCTTTATTGTTTCATTCTTTTATCTGTCTGAATCCCTCTCACCAGGGCCGCGGCATGGTATAAACAGAGTTGTTTTGGCAGTTTTTTTATAGCAAATGCAATTGATGCGATCTGTGCATACGTTGCGCTCAAGGGTATCATGTAAATTAGCAGGTTTTGGAATTCCAACTGTGTGAGCCGGATTTAAACCAAGGTCACTTAACGAGTTGTTTGACACTCTCTTAATTTCTGATAATGTAAGTCTTCTTCACCAACTTCTTCTTTACATACTAATACATTCCATTATCTTAAAAGGTAATAGTTTGATTTAGATGACTGAAATTTATGACAAAGTCTACAACGTTTTTGTTTATTGTTTATTTATATTAAATTATTTGTACTATCTATATATGCTACAGTAGGTGAGCATAAAACCCCTATCTTGTTACCCTTGTCTTCTGACACAGCCATTAACCCTGTAATATATAAAAATATATTTTAGATAAAAACGTGAGACTGGATAGGGAGTCATTTTAATTTTATATAAATTCAAATTTCTTTACAAATCTCTTAGAAGATTTTCCTATATACTGTCTGGTGTACTCAGCCACCACCTACTCTACCTCTTATCAGCCTTTTTCTCTCTTCTTTTCCTAGCTGTCACTTCCACACACATCACATTTGTTCCCCTCACATTCTGGCACACACCGTTTAATAATCTTCTCCCTTTTTTCTCCTCTTTATCTCCTTTGTCCCCGCTTCATTCCTCTGCTCGCCTCCTGCCTTGTTTCTGTAGCAAACAGTGCGGCCCACCTTCTTTGCCAGAAAGTTTGAAGCCAGCGTGAACCAGGAGATAGTGAACCAGCTGGATACCTACCTGTTTGGACCATTTCCTCAGGGAACACCGGGTCTCAATTCCTACTGGGAGAATGTTTATGACGAGCCAGATGGCGTTGCCAGCCTGTCGGACACGCTGCTCACGTACTACCACTCCTTCACTCGGATGGGCCTGGTGAGGGCTGCGGCCTCCCTCCAGGGGAACCCTAATGATCACAGCTGCAGGTTAGTTTTATAAAAATGTGTGTGTATGAGATGGGAAACAGGCATCTCTGGTACATAATGTGTTTAGCTCTTCAACATTTATTTTTCTACACACACTCTGCTAATAATTGCTGCTATCACAACACACCTACAGCCCACGCCTGTGTGCAGCTTTGACACCAGATGGACCTTACTAGCTTTAGAAACCACATTGTACCCTACATAAAGGGCCTTTTGTGTTGCTCCTTGTGCATTGTCTCATAAGATCACATGTCATGGAAATAGGATAAAAATGGATAACTTCAATAAGCAACTGGAAGGCCAGTCCAAAGCCTTTCATTTCGTAATACAATATGACACCGTCAATTTATCCCTTAGATAATGAGGCTTTATAGGTCATACCACAGAGAGCAAAGTTGGTCTGTTATTAATAGAAATAAATGAATTTCAGTGTGCTGTTAACATACTGTGTGTGGCTAAAATAAAAAGAAGGAAATGCTCTATGTCAGCTGGATGTCCTTAATGTTGGAATCCTTTTCGGGTGCAGCTGCTCTCACATAGTTATGGTTTAGTTTTCCTTCCTATAAACACATCTAAATAACCTTTCCAAACAGAGGCAAACTGAGATGCACCATTTTTTGAAGTTCATTCTCCTGGTTCTCAGTGTAATTCACATTTACTTTAAGGAGCAACAATTTAAGAACATTGAAAAAAGTATATTTAAACAGGGCATTTCTCTATTCACTATCACCAAGTTTAAATTTAGATATTTAGGATGGTGCACACTGTGGGTATAATCTATGAAATCTAAATGCTTGCCTTAGCAGAGATTTTTTAACATATTTACAACCTTTCAGAGGCTTCTTGTTATTTTCTACATGGTATATGCGTTTTGACAACCAGGGAAAGTTTTAGGGAATGACTGTCTGGGCCGCTGTCTCTTGCTGAACTTGCTCGTTGAGTTAATCTAGGCAGCATCGCAGTAGCAAACGCCTCTTTGTGTGAAGTGCGATAATTTCCTCTTCACATGCAGGATGTGAGGAGCCTGATAAACCCCACCACCACCACCACCACACACACACACACACACACTCCCCTGGCTGCATTGTAAGTGTTCTATAAAATGTTCCAGGTAAAAGCAGCAGATGAAAGGAAGCCACGTTTTATGGTTTCCATGTGTCAAACCTAAAAAAAAAAAATGCATCTCTCAGCTACAGCTGCCTCTATTCAGAGTCTGCATTGTTGACATAGAGGACAGGGACATAAGAACAACATGCCTATATGTACACTGTATTGCTAAAATTCCCTTCACTGCAAAAAATGCCAATCTAAATACATTTTTTTCTTAAACTAAGTTCCTTTTTTCTTGAATTGAGCAGGTAAGTGAAACACTTTGCTAATGCAATAAGACAATTCACATTTAAAATAAGAATAAAACAACTGCAGTCTCCTATTTCAAGTGCAAAATATCTTATTCTCTTATTTTAAGGGTAAATATAGTCATTCCATTGGCAGATCATCTTATTTACTTATTCAAATTAAATCATTCAAAATAAATTATTCAAATAAACTTATTTTAAGACATTTTTACTCCTTTTCAGAATGTTTTTGTAATGTAATCCATGGGGTTTAATATATATTAAGATTAGCTTATCCATGTCTTTTTGAACTTTGCATGGAGTCATACAGTCATGTTAGAACTGAAACTTTGAACCATGTCCAAAATTCTCATTAGTTGAAGCAATAAGATTGAATTAAGGAGCCAGGCTTTTTGTTGTGACACATACATTACTAATGGAGAATCCTAAAAAAGAGTGGCAGGACTCTACACCTGGAAATCTACACACAGAAGTGTTAAAAATAATCTGATTTCCATGGCGTTTCCCAAGGGCGTTTCAGTACAGCAGAAACAGGTGAGAGGCGGCAGAACAATAACCAGCTACGTTTTGGCTGAATAAAATGATTACTGTCGAGTGAGAAGGCATGGGAAAAAAGCAGACTGACCGCCTGTCCACACCCAGACAATAACGGTATTGTTCCAAACTGATTTAGTAGGAATGTGCATGGACAGGAGTGTTTGCAGCGCCTTTGAAAACAGTGTGGCATCTATGTCAGACCCATTGAAGCTGCTGTGACGCCGTCACCGAAACTCACCAAAAAGAGTGGACCAAAACACCAAGAAAGGGCAGACAAATCAATGCATCATGGTGGCCAAGAGGTGCAAGTGGATTACAGAGAGAGACGGAGCTACACATCATTTCAGGAAAAACATGAACATAAACACATGGAAATACCAATCTGAAACCTTTACACACTAAGACCCAGGTTGCGTGGACGCTGCACTTAAACCCCAAATTACCTTTGCAAATACGCTTATGCTTGTCTCAGTGGGAGCAGGACTCGAAACATGACAGTTTTATTTTCTGTCTTTTTTTTTTTTGTTGTTTTTTTTGTTTTGTTTTTTTCCTGTGGTCTGACAGTCCTGCTGCAGTTGGCAAAGAGGTTTCCTGAGGTCTCTTTAATACCAATTTTGTTGTGGTTCAGTTCTCCTACAAACAAAAGTTATATTTCTAATTTATTGTATTTGCATATTTAAAATAGTAAAATCTTTCTTTAACTTTAAACATATTAAGTTGATGAAAATACTTTCTAAGACCCACAAAGAATGAAGTAAAATAATTACCTTGAGATGAATTTCAGTTGCAATTGTATAACTTTAGCCTCTCTTTCTTGGCATAATAATTCTATACACAATTAGTCAAATGATATAACTCAAAGCAAGGTTTTTGCCCCTATCTTATTTATGTTGTTTTATGCTAAATCTGACCATTTAAAGCCAACTAATTCAATTGATTAGTACTAGATTAGACCTTGAAGTTTGCTGCAGTAAAATGCCTACGTTGGATTTTATCTATAAACTGCCTGTTGCACATGCATTGTGGCTGGGTGTTTAGTTGCTACATGCGTGCAAAATATGCATGTCTGCTTTTGCCTCAGTTTATAATAGTGGCAAAAGAGCAGAGGAACCAGGAGAGTGATTCTGATCTTTTAGAGGCTTGCTGTGACTTTCTTGGAGAGGCAGGGGAGTAAAGCTGAATGGAGCTTCTGTGCAGCATGCAGGCCGCCCCCCTTAGTGCTGCTTCTCATATTGGCTTTTTGGAAAGGCAGGTCAGAAAGGCCTGAGAGCTGAGGTAAAGCAATGTGAAAAAGATGCAGAGAGCTGTGAAGGTAAAAGTAAAGGAAAGGAGAAAGACAAAGACACAAAAAATGAAGCAGGAGATTGGGGGAGTGTGCAATGCAATCCTTGGGGGTGTAAATATTTGCTGTTCTGCTTGTCAGGGTAGCATTTGCCAGCTCTGGTTGACTCCTGGTCCTTTAGCTGAATACTGATGAGGTTGCTTGCACACAGGAGCCGGGGGGGGGAACACTATGTGTTTGTGTTAAGGTGTGTGTATATGTCCAAAAAGTTAAGAATAGGAGTTCAGGAAGCAGAGAGATTAGAAATCTGGGTGAGAAGAATTGAGAACATGAGCAATCAGCAGCTGTTGAGCATCCCTTAGCAGCACCGACCCTCAACCCTTTTATGTTTTTCCAGAAGTCACTCTGGCTGACAGCCCTTAGGGCTGCCTTCTGCCACATTTGAAGCCTCGCACAAATAAACACACTAATCACACTAATCACACTGCAAGATCTTCATTCTGCTTCAGATAACTGGATGACCCAGTTCAACTCTGTGCTTCCTGCTTAAATGTCTTTTATTTATTCATTAAAATCAGAACACAAACAGCCATTATTTAACATTAGGGTTTGTTATTTATCATTATGCCCTTCATAGTTCTCAAAGGTTTTAAGATGCATTATATTTCCAAAGTATTCTTGCTTTTCCACATGGCAGCGGCTCCCTTTGCAACTATAACAACTTTGATTCTTCCAAAGGTTTAGGACTGTGCTTACGGCAATAATTAACTGTTCTTCCAGGATAGCATGAGGTCCAACAGTAGCAAGACCAAGATGAGGACAACCCATCACTATGTCTTTGTGTCCCACCCACTAGTGCCCCCTAGCTAGTCAGCCTTATGTGGATATTTTTATGGTTGAACTTGAGAGAGGAAAGGATGAACTTTGATGATATTTGAAGGTTTTTGTTTGTTTTTATTTTTATCGGTTACCCTGCTCAAAAATTATTGTTTAAATCAGCTTGTTTTCAGATCTTGAACATTTTTATCAGAAGATACCAGGGAATAGCGTTATATTTATTGATTTTGTTGTTTTTGGCTCCTTTTTTAATCTGACTTAAATTTCAAGTTTATCAACACCATCAAACTGTAATAAAATACCATAGATTTAGGGATGGCATTTAGTTTTAGCTGCACCCAACTGTTCGCACTATCATACCATAATCTACCATTTTATATTTTGTTATAGGTGAGCTGAAAAATACATTTTAATGTACTTCTAGAGTACTCTGTTCGAACTAATCCTGTTTTTAAACCATACCTAAAATCAGCCTTTAAACCTGAATTGTAAATTTAGGTATTATATTTTCATCATTCCTGAATTGCTTTAATATTCATTCTCAGATAATAAAACTTAAAAACTCTAGTCACAGAAATGCTTGTTTAACAGCCCACATGCAGCACTTTCTCAGCATGATTGGTATTGTCGACATGTCTTTGACCGATTACATCTCTGTTAAAGGTCATTGAATTAATGTCCACCATGTCACACAATTACAGAGCACATTGACTCCCCACTAACCTTTACAGCAAGTACACATTTGCATCCCCCCACATTAGCATGTGCAAGACAGGCTCCCTTTAGACACCATCTAAATAAATCCTGATAACTTCCTTCCCTTTTCAGTCTTAGCTGTAGAAAGCTGCTCGAATGGTGAATTTGTATCTAAGGTTTTTTTTTAATGAACTTTTCTTCTTTTTAACGTTTTGCCAGGTACTTTCCAATGGGCCACCCTGTGTCAGTGCATCTCTACTTCCACTTAGACCAGTTCCAGGGCTACCTGGTCAAGCACCATGCCACTAACCTGGCTACAAGTAAGCTGGAAACCCTGGAGACCTGGGTGGCACCCAAGAAGAACTTTGAGCTGACCATGCCTCCAGGCAGCACATTTAGCCGGCTGCAGTTTGCTGAGGTAAGTTTAATTCACTTATATTTTGGGGGATTTGATCAATACTACACAATTTTTTTAAGTGCATAAATTAGGGCTGCAACTAATGATTATTTAGAAAATCGATTAATCTGCAATTTTCTTGATTACTCTATTAGTAATCGGATAGCCAAAGGTTCCTTAAAGAATTTTTTTTACGAAATTCAGTCAGGTGAAACTAAAACTTTTCCACTTGAGGAGTTATGGATGGAAAATATTGAGAGAAGAAAAAAAAATGTTATCTTAAATTTAAAATTTGTATATATTTTTTTATAGTCTTGGTATAATTACTGCTCTAAAAGGTTGCTCTGTCAGCTTAAAGCATATTTTACAGTTTCTACACTCCAGATAATGATTAATTGATTACTAAATTAGTTAATTATTATTTAAATAATCAATTAATCACGAATAGTCCGATTATTTTTTCAGCCCTAATATAAATAAGCTACATTAAAACCTTTACCAACCATCTTTGAGTAATTTTGGTAAGCTGGGAATGGTCTCCACAGTTGGCTCTGTCAGTGGTTTACCAGGGGTTTCAGTGGCTTAGTGATGGCTTTGAAACTCTTGCCAAACAGATTGTTTTAGATCCAGTCATGATTGTTGTTTTTAATATCTTTTAGCCTACTTCATATTGTCAGACAGGGGACTCACTGATTCTACAGGCCTGGTAATAGATTCAAGTAAAACTACACCAAATTGTTCATCAGAAAGGTTAAGATTTACAAATAATATAGCGCCACTTATAAAAAAACAAAAACAAATATATGATTACATGCTGTATGCAGCTCATCATTATGGTGACCTTTTATCTATAAACATGCCCTTTATATTTATAGCAGCACATTTTCAAACAATTACAACCTTACCTATGATGGCCTTGTAAAATGTAAATTGATTGAATGCATGCAAGTTTACGTGGATGAGCACCTCACGTGTCGCTCATTTGTTGCCTCCTAATATAATGACTCCTCACCTTCACACTGGGATGCCTCTCCTGATTGTCTCGTTATGTTAATCTTTGTTTCTGTTTAGGATACAGCCACTCAGCTGTGATGTGACAGCCACAGTCTATTCTAGAAAGAAATTAACTGAGCAAATATAAATTGACCTTTTTCTCCCTGCCTCATCCTGCACAGCTCTACGTGAGGTAGAAATGTCAACAAATCTGTTAGTGGGTTTGCTCGCCTTGTTTAAGGTTGCACTCAAACCTGGACCCACCTTGTTTCACCTTTGGGAGCCATGGCTGTAAGAACCCCAAATAGGTTACAGTTTGTATGTCAGGCCTATGAAACCATGAGTGACAGAGAAGCAATGTGAGCAGTGGCTTTTATCTGGATGCTTTGGAAAGCATTTGCTGCAGTGACTGACACTCAGTTTTTTTTTACATCTGTCAGTGGAAACTCGCAGAAAGAGCTTAAATAAGAGCGCGTCTGCTGCACAATGTCTGTCTTTTTGTCAACTTAGCAGATATGAACCATATTACTCAGGTTTTACAACTGTAATTTCCTAGATAAAGCACATGGCTGGCTGAACAACGTGTTCTCTGTCCTTCTTTAGATATGTACAAAGGCAGATACGTTTATTTCGTTACACTCTCCTTTATCTGCCTCCCAGCTGCTTTTATGGGTGTTTTTTCACATAGTGATTTAATAATGAAGTACACAGTTAAAATTTGTATTTTACTTTATGTTGGATCTGACATTAAGAAGTTTCTTACTTGGCTGTAAATCTAATCACAAAATAATAAAATTTGTCCATCTTCTGGCATGTTCTTCCAAATTTATATAAACACACCACTGGAAAAATGTTTAAAAATCCTTTAACTGAATTCATCCTTTATTGCTATAGCTTAATCTCATAGCAACGAAAAAAGGAATTAATGATCTTACTTTTAATTTATGTACACTTATATTTTTTTATTATTAAGCCTATCAGCACTCTATACTTTCCCACAGAATCAATAGTACCATACTTGTTGAAATAGCCCTTACTGGTCCTTTATTTGCATTTGATCAAATTTTCTAAAACTATAATAACAAATCATGTTGTCCTGTGGTATAAATAAGATGTGACACATGTCAATGCAGCAAAGACAACAAAACATGCTGTTCAAATAAAGCATATTTGCACTCATTTTAAGAGGGCAGGAGCAGTAAGCTACAAGGGATATGTGTAAGGGGATATCTAAGTTGAAAGACGGCCTGGATTTTTTTATTTTTTATTTTTTTTTTTATTTCCTATTCCCACAATATGGAGAATAGTCAAAAAGTTTAAAGAAAAAAACTACATTTCTCCAACAACTAAAGGGACCCTCGATTCACTCTATCGGAAACCGATTAATTAGGAATATGAAGGACAGTCTCTCTGTGACAACTGTCTCAAATGGCTACTGTTTTATAACTTAATTTTTTTCTGAAAAGTTTTCGACAATGTCTTTGTCACTTCCATTGCCTCCCACTAGAGCAATCTCTAATTTTATGTTTTTAAGCAGCATGAAGGTCAATTCTAATAATATTCCTAGTAGGATAGAAATAAATGTGTATGGCCTATGTGTTACTAGTAAATACAGATTGCTGTACTGCAAGCCGACAGAATTGAAAAAGACTCCTTGATAGGTGTTAAATGTCTTCAGAATAATTGAGCAAAAGTCCATTTGATTCAGATTTAAGCCTGTTTTGAAATTTTAGGACAGTGTTAACTGAAAATGTGTGACTTGCTGAGGCAATTTAGAGGAAATAATCGTTCAAGTTTGGAGCGGGATAAAAACAAAGGTTGAACATTGGAGCCAGTAGTCTCTAATGCTTCCCATTGATTATGGTGGAGGAAGTGTGATGATGTGGTCTAGCTCTTTTTCAGTATTCGTAGGAACTTTGTTAGCAATCAGCTCTGAAATTATTATGTTTGGGTTTTATGTTCTTTTTCTTCTTTACCACCCTACCAATTCTAAATGTAATCAGGGTTTCTGAACAGATTTAGGAACATTCAAGGGAAAAGAAGGCATAACCTTTCCAATATACTACTTTTATATAATAAATCTCATTAAAATAAACTTTTCTTAACCAGGTTCCGAAAATAGTCTCAGTCTAAACTGAAAAAAAAAAAATTAAGTTTAAAAAAAATTTATGATAGATTCTGCATTTTTATGATTTACTAAACAAACAAATCAAGAATTAAACAGATGTATTGTATTTTTTTCCCCTTGTTTTCTCCAAGAGGATTTAATATGTGAAATTGTCAGCTTAGAGCATGTCTGTTAAGGTTTTCTCTCAGTTTGCTATTTTGGAGCACAATGAGGTATAATAAGTACAGTGCAAAGAGAGAAAGAGAAGTAATAACCTTAGAGAGCAACAGTTGTTGACAATGAGCCTTGAAAACTGTTACAGTATAATTTTTAAACGATTTGAAGTCAATAACTCCACAAAAATAATGATTATTGTTATGTGGAAAAGACAATTCTTCCCTGGAGTGGACAGCTCAGCAATTTCACCCAAAAAGTAGACTATTATCAGACTCTGCAGGCCTTATTTGGCGTCCTGGATGTGGCTTATTTATAGTGAATAAACAGGCAAAGCCTGATGTCTCTTAACTCTTTTTAAACTCAATCTTACAAAGGTGCATCTAAATGATTGGAACGTTGTATTTTGGACAGGGGATACCAGAGTGGAGCTACAATGCATGTCTGGCTAAAACCAATCACAGCATATAAGTTTCTCATAGAAACTGTCAGGTGCGGTGGTGTAAATGTGTTAATTTAGGCTTGTGTTGTAGCCATAGGACCTGGGCACCATGCCGTCATGGTCAATTGTGAGGTTTTCTGTTTCGCAGCTGGCACTTGGCCAAACTGGGTAATCATAACAGCAAACCCATAGTGGAATTGCTCAAAAAGAACCCAATGAGTGCACTGAAGTGGTCCAGTCAGACCTTGATTTGGTTGTAAAGCTTTGCATTAATGTTCACAAGTCTTACTGATCTGAAGCAATTATGGGGTAGAATTGTTGGCCAATATCGCAAAGATGTGTGGTACTGATGCTCATACAGAAATCTATCTGGTTGTTGCTGCTAAGGGATGTTTCACAAGCTACTCCTGTGGGGAAAATTTAGTTTCTATAACATTTTGTGTTTGCTTGTTTGATTTTGACTCAGTCTTAGTCATTGTTTGTGTTTTTGTTAGGACTCCAAACCATAAATCATTTTTATGTTTCCTTTGATAAATTTTTCTTACAAGAAAGACCTCCAGCGCCTAGTTGAAAAGCGATTGTGCAGTAAACTAAAGTCTGTTTGGTGCCAGGATTATTCCTTTTTAAAGTTTTACACATGTTCCCATCACCTGTCTTGTCATAACAGTATCTTCCCTGTGTGTCTTTATAGCTTTCATCCATATTTCCCTGTAGGTTAAAGACAGCCTCATGGGATTCCTCTGGTGCTGCTCCTTGAATCTTTACCCTAAAGTTTCTTCACCTGTGTTTGATTATCCACCCCCAAAAAGTGGCACTAATGATCCTCCGGGGGTGTCCATGTTAGTGGTTTAGAACAAAACCAGATGTAGAGTGGGACTGTCTGTGCCCTTGATTGATTAAACTGACCAGGCCTTTTTAATAAAGGCGTTTAAGTGTTGGCGCCTGCAAACTTGCTATGTAGAAACAGTGTTTTATACAGCCAGTGTGTATGCAGGAAAGTCATAAAATTGAAATATGTAAAATATTAGCTGTGGCTAAATCTTAAGTTTCTTTCAACTTTCTTCTTTTTGAGCTTACATAAAAAGTGTGAGTGTTTAGAGCAAAAGGGATCCAAACACCGGGGGGAGTAATGACAAAGCTGCCAGATCGGTTTTACTTCCTCAAAAAAGCCAATTATATATCAGAAAATAAGTCTGTGCTTTGGTGAGAGGTCATAAGTTTTAATTGGGTATTGGTCTTAAGCCAGAGCTTAATTATTAGGCACACAGTCAATGACAAGCCCAATGTGGAGGTCAATGTAAGCTG